ATTCTTAAAATTTATTTTTATTAATAAAAAAGTTTTTAAACTCTTCGCTTTAATTTTATAATGTTCTCATTATTACTCTGAAGTATAATTAATTAACTAATATTATTATTCATGTTTTTTTTATATTTAATTTACAAGTTAGTTACTAACTATATTACTTATTTTTCTAATAGAAATTCTCATTTAAAATTATTTATTTTTATTAATACAAATATTTTTTTAATTATTTTAAATTAATTTTTAATTTCAATTTTAATGTTGGTTATAAATTAATTCTTTATTCCTTCTGTATTATTTATTATAAATTTTGCCTTCCTTATTTAAAAAGCGGCAAAAAAATTGGTTAAGAAGGTGCATCAAGCTTAAGTTCTGCTCTATCAAATTGTACTAACCTCTCAAATTTGACACTTAAACTTTAGTAAAAAACATTTTATATGTTTTGGATTGTGATATTTTTTTAAAAAAATTAATTTAAAACAATATAATTAATTAACTAACTCTTTTATTTTATTTATTTGCTTTCTTACTTTTATTTATTCTACTTGTTTTTTTTTTCTTTCTTTGTTAATTTAGCTAATTTTTTCATTTTCAACTTTTTTTATTATTAATAAATTAACTCATTTACAATCTTATTATATCATATTTTTTCTTATTTTTTTCATTTTATTTAACTAATAATTTATTTTTTCTTCAATATTTAAAAAGTGACAATAATATTGATGATAAAGTAGCTTAAAATTTAGGTTTTGCTTTAGCAAATTGCATTAATCTCTCAAGTTTGACACTTGCTCTTAGGTAAAAACAGTTTATTTGTTTTATATCATTATATTTTTTTTATAAAAATAAATTTAAACTAATAAAACTAACTCTTTTAATTTATTTTTAAGCTTTTTATTTGATTTATTTCTCTTTATTGTTCTTATATTTTTTGAACATAGCTTTTTAATTTATTATATTTTTCATTTTCAAATTTTACTTTTATTATTAATTAATTTCTTACTATTTCTTATTTTTCTTCATTTTTTACTTTTAACTAATAAATTATAAACTTTTTCTTTAATACTTAAAAAGTCACAATAAAATTGGTAATGAAGGTGTATCAGGTTTAGTCTCTGCTTTAGCAAATTGCAATAATCTCTCAAATTTGACACTTGACCTTGGGTAAAAACAATTTATTTATTTGTTTTGGATTGTGATATTTTTAATATAGAAATGAATTTAAAACAATATGACTATTTTAATTTATTTATATATAATCAATATTTATTATCATTTTATTTGATTTATTTTTATAGATGATTTTTTTCTTTTTTCTTTTCTAATTTAACTTTTTTTAAAAAATTTAACTTTTATTATGAATTAATTCACTTCTTATTATTTCATATAACAAATCTATTTTTTTTCTTCAATATTTAAAAAGGTACAATTAAATTGGTGCAATTGGTGCATCAGGCTTGGGTTCTGCTTTAGCAAATTGCGCTAATCTTTCAAATCTGATTCTTTAACTTACGTAAAAGCAGCTTTATTGTTTTTTTATTATCATTTTATTCGATTTTTTTTCTATTTCTTTATTAAATTTGTGTTTTTTTTTCTATTTAATTTTTTTTCCCATTTTCAACTTTTATTTTTATTATTTAATAATTAATTTCTTACTATTTCATATTTTTTCATTCTTATTTATAATTAATTATTTATCTTTTCTTCAATATTTAAAAAGTAACAATAAAATTGGTAATCTAGGTGCATCGGGCTTAGGTTCTGCTTTAGCAAATTGTGCTAATCTCTCAAATTTGACACTTGATCTTTAGTAAAAACAGTTTATTTGTATTTGGATTATGGTATTTTTAATATAACTATGAATTAAGCTTTTTAACTCATTTAATTTATTTATTAACTTTTTATTTGATTTATTTTTATTTTTTTAAATTCTACTTTTATATTTTTTTATTTTTATTTCATTGTTAATTTAACTCATTTTTTAATTTTCAACTTTCAACTTTAAATTTAATTAATTTCTTATTATTTCATTTTTTTTTTTTCCAATTTTTTATCTAACTAACTAACTAACTAACTAACTAACTTATTTTACTTCAATTTTTAAAAAGTAGAAATTAAATTGGTGAAGCTGGTGCATCAGGCTTAGGTATTGCTTTAGCAAATTACATTAACCTCTCAAATTTGACAATTTATCTTAGGTAAAAACAGTTTATTTGTTTAGATTGTGGTATTTTTTGATATAAAACTTATAACAATTAATTTAAATAACTCTTTTAATTTATTTAGCTTTTTATTTGATTTATTTTTCTTTTTTTATTGAGCTTTCATTTTTTTTTTCATACTTACT